CACCTCACCAGGCCATCATCACACTGATGGACCTGCACAAGGAAATCTTCCCGCCCCACCTGGGCTCCTCTCGTATACCAGGATCTACAGGAAGGTGCCCTAGCATGACTGGGGTCTGCATTACCAACACAGGAGACACAGGAGAGAGACGTCAGTAGGCCTCGGAGGGTAGGGCCAATGGTGGCAGGGAGGGGTCGTGGCTGTGAGGCTGGGACCAAACCATCCACTGAATTCATGGGCAGCAGCAGCAGCACACAGTTCTAAGCAGCCATACTGGACATACATCCTGGAGACGTGAAAGCTAGTCATGCTGCCCCTTGGTTTGAGAAGGACCAAACTCAGGGAAGAAATGTGTCCAATGGACCCCGGACCCCAAATGACCCAGAACCGGGCCACATCCACCAGTGGGGCAGAAGTTCAGGAAAACCTATAGCCCTTGTTTAGATTTTGAAAGAAACCAAACCCACTTGCAACTGTATAGTGCTGTAGGTAGACATGAACCAGAACTTGGTAAGCAACATTGTAGCGTATTCAATCACGTATTTTCACCCTTTCATATCCCTGTCACCACTGAACTAAATTAACCGGTTCATTCCAGCTCCACCTCAGACTGAATCAGAACCCACATTTTCACGGGACCCCCAGGTGGTTCCTGTGGATCTTGTGAACATTCTGATTCAGTCCATCTGGGTTGGAAATGCAAATCATCAGTTGGACCGGAATGAACTGGTTGGAAGCCTCAGGCCACTACCACTATTTAAACTACCACCCATTGGAACTGAGTGGAAACAAACGACAGAGAAGGGCAGAAGGGCAAAGGGACAGAACATAGCTTTATTGGAGATTTACTTGATACAATTATTACAAAAAACAAAAACAAAATAAAGGACGAAAGGTCATTGTCTCCATAAGGTGCACAGTGAGTTTCTGCAGCGTGCCATCTGCAGGGCGACACCAGGTTCCCTAAAAACAGCTGCAGCGCGTGACGGGAGCGAGCGCATTGTCCGACGACACTGGTGAACTGCACTGGACGTCAGTCACTTCACTCTATTTCCAGTAGAAAAGCCAGATCCTCCTTCCTGCACCTTGGCATTTTTGCTCCAGCACCTGCCATCGCGAGAATTCTGAGTGCATTTATAAAATGTAAATTTCCTGTGACTGATGTCCAAATAAAAACGGACTAGAAAAGAAAGATTACAATCTATTTACAAGTTAGTTCTGAAAGATCGTTTCGTGGGAAACACAACGGACCAACACAGATTCCCCTGGACATGGCTACCAGCTTCTCCAACAACTTCCACAATCATTTTCATAGTCTCGGTCTCAGACGTTATATCTTAACCATCACGTATAATAGAAAATAAAGACATTTATTTGGAAATAATTAAATTCTTGAAAAGTAATCAGTGGTTGAAAAAATAGACCTATCTGAATGGCATTAAAATAACCACGCAGGTATTCAACTTGACATTGCATTTCTCTCTGCACAAGATTCAAAACGGTGAAGGGTGGGCTTTAAACCAAGAGACAAAGGCTCAGGGTGGTGGCTTAGGTTATGCAGAAAAGGACCGAAACCCTAACAGGGCAAGCGATACGCTTTTCCATGGCTGGGGCCTTCCGAGTGAACTGCGGGCGGTGTGGGTTTCACCCAGTCTGCCCTCGCAGCCACAGGGCAATATCAGCGCCGGCAGAAGCACTGACTGCGGGGGACGGACTGTGTTCATGGCCCGGAACAAGCCTCTAGTCACGGAGGCAAGGCATCGGAATCTTTCTGAGGACAAGCTATTACTAAGAAAGTACAAATACGAGTATTTGAAAAGATAATTACAGGAGTAGTGGAGGTCATTCTAAATTTAATCACTTCACATAACATAAAAGAAAAAAAATGTAACAAACATTTTAAGAACATAATTAAGAGTTCAGTTAACAAGTCTCTGTCATACTTTCACAAACAGTAAAAATGCCACAGACAAAAATGACCTATTTAAGTTGTGCAAGTACATGATGCATTGTAGGCATCTTAAAGATCTTTTTTCAAATTCGGAAAATTGAAACAGCAGCAAGACCCAGCCACATCGTTCCTCTCAGTGGAGCATATTTTCCTTGAAATGAGGTAAAGCTTAGTACCCAGAGCAGCGCTTTTCTGTGCTACGCGGCGGGAGCAGAGGGGAAAAGCTATCGCACACAGCACGTGACCCAGCAGGGCCTGCTGAAGGTGTGTGATAGGGGCCACTGTTGGCAATGAAGGCTCCTGCCAGCTAACCCTGCAGACACGCCTCGGAGGAGGCCGCACTGCTTCCCCAGCCTGGCCCCCCAGTCCCCACCTCCCGATGGCGCCCCCAGGAGGCCTTCCATCTGCCTCTTGGTCTCACATTGCAATCACACAACAAAAGGATGATACACAGTTGTGAAGGGGGGTAACAGAGAGAGATTGTTTCCCTTAATTGATGAATGTGAAACATTTCAACAAGTTGAGCTGGGAAAAAACTCCAGCAGGGCATTAGAAGTCAGCTGCACAAAAGCATTCATAACCATTTCTTAGGCCTGCTCCTAACTTCTGAGTTGTGAACCTAGCAACCAGGGGACCACAGAATGCTTCAAAATGTGAGTCACAAATTAAAGTCGGCTAGTTTTCTCCAACACACACGAAAGAGCTGCTGAAGCGTGCTGTGGACGAGACATCCTGAATGGTAGCAGGAAATCTGAACCCCTGAGGCTGGCTGCCCTAATCATATCCAAGTCTGGACTTTTCTGTCTTAACCAAAAATACTCTTAAGGTTACAAAATATACTGAGGCATTTTTCTCCCACTGGGCATCGTAACTGTGCCAGGATCTGGGTTTGGTGCCAGGAAGCGAGAACCCCTTCCCGTTGTCTCAGTGCGTTAGATACACCACACAGCGTGCTCTGTTCTCATGTCAGGTAGTTTATAGGTTCTGCAGCACTTGGGACGGGACGCTCTCTCAGGTCACACTCACAAAGAACGCTCATAACCAGTCCTACTTGGTACGTGTACACACGTCTGGTTCCAGCATTCGAGAATTTCTTGCTTTCTAACTTGCCATATCTTATACACAGATGATTTTTTAAAAAAAAAATCAAATAGAAATCAGATTCCAAATCAGCATAAAAAACTCTACACACGTCTACCTAAATGAATGTACTCGAATCAATCACTGAACCATTCAGATCACGATTCAAATTTACGGTTGGAGATAACAAACAACATTGGAGAAGCTCCACCCCCGCCTCCCCATGTCCTTCAAAGGCCTGAGCTGACCGTTGCCTGCGTGTGCACATGCAGGGGTGTTTCTCTGGGGGCAGGAGGTACAGACTGAGCAAGCAGCACAGTGTTCGCTTGTCAAAGACAAACACAGCACTTGAAACACGGGGTTCCGGGTGAGGAGCTGGCAAGCGTTAGCCACCTCTGCTCAGCATTCTTCAACTTCAAGCATAATTAACGGGGCCAACAGCAGCAAACCTCTACTGGTAGACAGAGCAGTGGGGGTGCAGGACTGACCCACAGCTTTTAAAAAGGTAAATTAAGAGGTATTATAGTTACAGTGCAAAAAAAAAAAAAAAAAAGTTCAAGCATAAGACATAAACATTAGCACCCAACAAGAAAACGCATGCCAAAGAAAAGGGGAACTGAGGTATTTCAGTGGAGGGGCCTCTAAGTCTACTAAAAGGAACTGAGGCAAATGCCTAAAAATGTCTTTTTTTCTTTTTCTCTTATCCAAACATGGAAACAATGAGCTTGTTTATCTGAATGAAAGACCTAAATCACAGATGGGTCGAATATCGGCAAACGTGACCCTTCCTGGCGTTGCCAGCACAGTTCTGGCTGGGGAGAGGCATGCGGCACTGAGGTACAGGAGACTCAGGTGAGAGGACTCAGGTCAAGGTGCTCTACACTTTGCTTTTCTTCAGTAAGTAACCAACCAGTTCTAAAATCTGCAGCATGGTTCAGGTGTGATATGTCTAAGGTTTACTCTGTTAAAGCAACAGCTTCCACAGCAAAATTACCTGCCGTAAACATTTCCATCAGTGGAACTACCTAGCGCGAGGTTCTCAGTCAAATTGGGCATTTAACCAAAGATCATTTTTATTATGGGGTTACAAAAAAATCCACAGACGACATATTCTGGTTTCTCAAATGTCGTCGGTACACATTTGACAGAAATTCTAGTCTAATCCTGTAGCAAGTTACAACTACACTAGTGAATTGTAAATATCACGCTGTCTCCACAACTGATACATAATAAACTGAAGGGAATGTAAAACAGTTTGTTCCAAAAAGATCAGAAAGTAAAGACTATCCGAGGGTTTTACTTTTAAGGCAAGAACCTTTTTATGCAAGACTATGTGGCATGAGAAAACTAAAATTCGATTCGCCAACATGCCAACCAATCAATGCTCACGAACAATCCGTCCCTTCCTACCAACAGCGACTGGGGACAGCACCTCACACCCTGTGACCTGGAGGGAAAAAGACAACCCAGGTACTCCTCCTCTTCACTCACAAACCATTTCATTCTAGTCGGCTCATCAACTACAGTGGGGCTGACGTGACTGCCCGATCCGAGGGCTGTTAACAACAGTCTCTGTTGACCTAGAGATTGTTTCAGGTTTAAGCTCCTTGGCCTTCTAACACTAAGCAAAGCTGACCAAAATTAAACTATAAAAAAAAAAAAAGGAAAGAAAACACAATGAAAAAAACCTGTCCATAATTATTTGGAACACTTGCTAAACATCACCATTAAAGCACTCTCGTGATTTAAAGAAAGCAGAAGTGAGGAGAGAACACAAGATTGTGTTTGCGCAAAAAACTAAAACTACAATTAGTTCCAAAAATTTTACACAGATGTTAAATGTTTTATTCTGTTATCTATCTTGTTATCAAACAAATGTTCAATTCTGTCTTCGGTCCGTTCTGCTCAATGTCAACCGTAAAAATCATCCTTTTCAATTTAAATCTTTTCCCCTTAGTTCTGTTCTTTGTTTTTGTTTTCAGTTTTAAGAAGGGGCTTCAGCTGTTGGGGACCTGAGGTTGGTTAGCTTTGAGGCTCCGGAGGGCTCTTCTTGCTGCAGCAGACTTGGCGATCCTATAGCTCCGGCCGACACCTTTAAACTTCCCCTTTCCAACGACTTCCACCGTGACTCTGACCTTGCCGTCGTACGTCCTCTCGGCCGGGCTGTAAGCAATCCACAAGCCTGAATTAGGAGCCAGCGGGATTTATTATGACCATCAGTCAGCAGTCGGGGGCACTCTCAGGCGACAGTGCCCCCGACTAGCTGACAACACACAGAGGAAACGTGCCTTAGTGCTTTATCGCATGCCACCGACGAGTGGGGCTGCCGTTGCTCCTGTAATTCAGTCTTACTTTATAAAAACAAAGAAGAAAGGGAACAGTCCAGCACAGTGCAGACGGAAACCTGTCTGACAGTACTTGGCAGTGACCTCTGTCAGGATCCTCACACCATGGGGTCAGGGAGAACTTTCCCGTTTTCAAACAAGTTCATTTTTCTTTCCATGCACCTTTTGGCTTACCTAAATTTGGCCGTTTCTGGTTCCATCTCGAGCAATTCTCGTACAGGGGAACGGGGCACATTTGCAGAGAACTTCTCTGTAATCAAAATGAAACAAGCGTGTGAATGAGCTCCTCCAAGCAGGTTTTAATGCTGCATCTGTTTCTTTGGAAGGGGGCCAACGATACCTATCAATGGCCGCATCATGGGGTGGTAGACCTGCCACACCGTCTCCAGCGACATGCCACTGTCCATATAAACGGCACCAGCAAGTGACTCAAAGATGTCCCCCATGGCCTTGGGGACCTCGATGTCCTCCTCCTTCTCCTCATCCTCCTCGGATCTCCTAAGCTGGTGCAGAGAGAAGAGGTACCATCAGGAAACAGGCCACTGACAGGCAGCTCCCAGCAGTGTGTGTACTTGGATACGACTTGGATTATCATCTCCTTCACAACATAACAATCCCAACTATCTGCAGCCACCAACTGCATTCCACGACCCACCACAGGTTCTTCACAAACATTAGCTTAGCTTTTTTTTTTATTTTTTTTTCAAACTTCTCAAGGGAAAAGAAAAGAAAAAAAAAACACCTTCCCCATTTAGTATTCTACACCCAGCTACAGGAAAAAGATTGCTTCTCAACAAAAGGAAAACCAGCTTTAACAGAGAATCAGTATGTACGATGCAGCACCACCTAGTCACTCACTCGTGAGCCCAGAGCTGCAGGCTGAACCCTGTGCCCCAGCAGCCAGCAAGGGTTAACAGAGTGCCATGCACACCTGGCAAGGGCTGCTCTACCTGCCACAGAATCCGTTTCTCCTTTTTTGGCAGGGACCTGAGATTTCATGTTATTAACCACTGGACACAGCTCACTGTCACAGAGGAGCTGACACAGGAGGTACTGAAGTTAACAAACGCTCACCAATGAACCAAAGCCTTCTCACGCTGCCACCCTGATGCAGAAGCTCTACTGCTGGGAACGCGGTATACTGGTGGGCCGGCGCACGCACCACACCCAGGCTTACTACAAGCTTACCAGCTAAAAACAACTGCGGGGTCCAGCCACAGGGACTGTTTAAACACTTACAGTGCAGCCACATACTGACTAGCGTGAAGCTGTTCACAATGATGATGCCCATCAATCCCTGGAAAGTCACCCCCAATGTGGGAAGGAAAGGCACAGGCTATGGGAGCCAACACTAATTGCCATTTGAGAGTCTATGTGTGTTTGCACCTATGTTAGCAAGAGATACAGCCCCAGATGTTACTGTTGCTGATTTCTGGGCTAGCAGATTGGGCTAACATCAATTAATGTTCTTTTGTTTATATGGCCCTCTTTTCCTAAAATAGACAAACACTAATTCCTGAGCCACAGAAATAAAGAGAAAGGAGAACACTCACTTCTAGTGGACTGTTCAGCCACGCAGATATGTAGAAAGGTACTCACAATGCTGACTGCTAGAAAAACAAGGCACTTATCGTTCCTGTAGCATGGTTCTGAGCGCCAACGGAACTGGAGAATTTGCCAAGGTTAATGCTCTCCTCTGCAGATGAGGGAAGTAAGGTCCAGAGAAGTGGAGGCGATTTCTTACCATAGAATAGCTAGCAAGCTGGGAAAGCTTTCCGAGCAGCTTCTGTAACTTCTATGCACGTTTATAGAAAGAAACAAATGGAAGGAAAAGAACAAAACCAAACTGAACCGAACCACAATGGCCTACTGGCCTCAAGTGATGCTGGATCTAACTTTGCTAACTTCCTCAGATTCTAAGTTCACATATTTCTAGAGAAAAATGAGACTATAGACAATCACAGAATCTGTAAGAGACGGTTCTCACTCCTCGTCCCCCGCTCCCATCGCTCATCCTGGAAGAGCCTGCAGAGGCCACAGGCCAGACTAGGGACTGCCGGCCGGTCACCCATCAGCACCTGCTGCCTTCTAGCTACAGGCGTATCACTTCAAAACCTAGACTGCTTCATTTTTCTCAAGAAAGCCAAGGAAATCCACTATTCAACAGTGGTTTGGTGCAACTGAAAAAGAGAGAAGGTCTGAATTAAAGCAGGTAAGACGGAAGCAGCTAGCCAAGTTAGGAATGAATTCTTCAACTTCTCGTACGAAATCTATAAACTAAGAAAGTGAAAGGATCGGGGTGGAAAGAGCCATGAGAGAGCTACCCTGCACCCTCAGATGAACGTCTGTCGGGGATGCCGACGGAAATGGAAAACAGCTCCTAAAACACTGGAATTCGCTCCATCACCCAAGAACCTTTGGCTGAACTTAATCGTAGAAGTCTCCCAAATTCCAATGGTTAAATTCAAAGTTTGCTTTTCAAATGAGATTTTTCCCATTTCAAGCAGAAGCAGAACGTACTTTATGACACTTACCTGAGATACTAGCACACACTGATCCATTATAGACAGATGTGCAGCTTTCACGAAGGAAGGGTGTTTGCTCACACCCCGGCACGTCTAGTCATCACACCGTAACAACCCTGGTCCTCATCTCTACCTCAGTGACCACAGGTACCACAGTGGGTACCGCACGCTCAAGAGGCCTACCCAGACGGCGGCCCATTCACACCTCTTCCCAAAGAGCATCCCGTGCCCTAGGGTCCACAGCCCCAGCCGGCCTTCAGCTCTGAAACTCCCAAGAACCCGAGTCGGATGGTGTATTTACACTAAACACCGAACCCCACCTGTCTCTTAAGGGGCACTAACCTCGGAATCCATGCCTTGCATCTCATTCTTCTCCAGCTGAAACTGCACAAAGTCATCGATGACGTGGAACAGCTCAGGAGAAACGGCTTTAAAGTACTTGTGGTAGTCGTACTTTACGGCCAACGATGCAAAAATGGTGTTATTGACCAGAGCGGAGCGCAGGTCAGTCAGGACCCCTGGGGAGTGCTGCCGTGGGTCTTCATAAAGGTGCTTGGTTATGAGGTAGTCCAAAATCGCATCCCCAAGGAATTCTAAGCGCTGGTAACAATCTGAGAGAGGATTCAAAGTGGGGCCGTGAGCGTGGGCCCCGTTCACTCTGCTTACGCGTGTGTCACAGACACAAAGCTCTGATCCCGTTCAAACACCCGACCCACGTTCACATACATGCCTTGTGGACAAATGACTTGACAGATCATACTCCCTGTCATTATTATCTGACAAAGCCTCTGGAGGGCCAATCTTAATGGTTCTTATATATAAACTGGGGTCATAAAGTCTTGTAAGTGGCCAAAAGACCAACGCTCGTTAAGAAAAACCATTTCCCAAAAGGCATCACCACCATCGACCCCGTCCTTGGGTACTGTGCCAGCAGTGCCAGGGCGCTCAGCTCAAGCCCGTCACCATCATCACTTCAAGAAAACCAGAGCCCGCACACACTGCCCCAGCCATGCTCTGCCGGCACCAAGCCCCCGGTCTCCCTGCCCCTGCTCTGGAATGTAAGGCACTCCTCAGCACTCTGGGGTCCCGGTGTCACCAGGATGGCAGTGAGGAGAGGGGGCCCTTCCTCCACCTAAGCTGGAAAGGCTGAATCTGACATGTGACACTAAGAGAATGAGGAGGAAGAATTGTGGAACCCAGCAGACTTTAGCAGAAATGCCTGTCAAAACGTGAAGGCATCAATGCTAAGCAACCAATACCTCCATCTTCACACTGTGGCGGAGAGGAATGTACTCAGCTGAGGAAACTGAGGCAGGAACAGACAGACACCCACAGAGACACATGGCAGGGCTGGGAGAGGCGGGAACCACTGCTCTGGTCTCACACCCTGGACAGCCATGCATTCTTTCCTCTCCTCCAAGGAGACGGGCCGCAGTTTCCACAGAGCGTTTCTGGTGTGGGGACAGGGCACAGTTTCGTTTCGCATTTTCCTGACTGTCTCAACCTGAATCGTTTCCGCTCTGCCCGCTAGGAAGCACCCGGGAGAAACTCGACTCTGCCGTCGACCTCTGGATCCAGGCAGTGAGACCCTGACACGGGACACGGGCCGTGCTGCACAAACCAAGCTGAGTCTGGCCGCTGGTTCGTCCTCGCTGGGAATCCAGCGGGGCCAGGCGCCCGCACAGCGAAGGAGGGAGCGGGCAGCGAGAACAGCCGACAGCCGCCTCAGAGCAGAGGCGGGTCTCCTGAACGCTTCCTTCACACCCGTCAGCCTCGGAGTCAAACAGAAGGACAGGGAGGGCGACCTCCTGCCCAGGAAGAGCCGTGTGGAAATGCACCCCGAGGGCAGAAGAAATGGAGACCCGCCCCCCCAAGCAGCTCTGACCCACGCTGGGAAGACACTGGGACAGGGGCCGAGGGGAAAGCACGACACATGACCCCAAGGCTCCCGTTTCTAAGGAGGAAGGACAGACCGCGAGGCGGAAGCACGCACAGAGCAAGCTGGGGAAGCCGGAACTGCGTGAGGAGCCGCCTGCCGGAGGAGGAAGCCGCAGCGGCGGACAGAGAGCGGGGACCGCGCCCGTCAAAGGCGCAGAGGCCGCGAGACCCCGGACGGACGGACGGACGACGGGGCCGGTGTGCCGGCTCTCCGCTTTCACGGCTGTCAGGGAGCTGCCCGCCCCACTGCCAAAGGGAAGGCGCCCCTGCTCCCCCAAAGACGAGGCCGAGAAAGGCCGCCTCCTTGCTCCTCTGGCCGTCCCCCACAAACTGAGCCCCAAGTCTGCACAGCCGGCCCCTGCCCGGAGCAGCCCGGGCCCTTACCAGTGATGGTGTTGTAGTGGTAGGAGGCGTGCGTGAACGCCTGCAGAAGGTAAGCCTTGTTCTGGAAACGGTAGTTGATCTTCTTCTCAAAGTTTTCAAAGCCCGATATGAGGTGACTCAGCGTCTTCTCTGCGTCCGGGTGGTCAAACATACACCTGGGCGGGATCTTCAGACAGCCATACTCCAGGTCCCTGAACGCGGGCGCGGGAGGCCAGCTGGCGGCGGGGCCCCTCTGCTGGCCGCCGGAGCCCTCCCTGGCGGGGCGCGGGGCGCCGTCCCGCTCCGTCCGCTTGATGACCGGGAGCACCTTCAGGCCTAAGGAGCAGAGGAACAGCTGGGCGGCCCTCTCCCCGCAGCTGGTCAGGTAGCAGCCCAGCAAGGCCTCCACGCAGTCGGCAATGCTCTTGTCTGCGATGCACTGCTCGGTGTGCAGGTCGTAGGAGATGGACTGCTTTCCTGTGTCGACACCACAGTTCTCTTCAGATGGATTCCAGAAGCCCACCACGAAGTCATCCTCTTCCACAGCTTTGCTAGGATCCAGATAGCACATGGCATCCCAAGAGCTGTAGTCAAAATCCTCAAAGTCGGAGGCGAAGGGCGCGCTCCCCAGGGCGGCCTTCGGGGGCATCTTCCAGTCCTCGGCAGCCTCGGCGGTGGAGAAAGGGGAGAGAGCGATTTTCTTCACAAACGCGCCGGAGCCCATAAGCATGTTGTCTATGAACTTGATGTGCTCCTGATCGTACTCCAGGAGGTCATCTTCGTAGTCGGCCTCCTCCTTGGGAGCCCTCCACAGCAGGCCCTCCTCTTCCTCCTCGTCCTCCTCCTCCTCGCAGTCGTCCTCCAGTCTGCCATTAGCCAACACGCAGCCTTTTGTCTGCAACCAGGGGGAATGGGAAGGAGGGGAGACATAACTGCTGTTTTTAAAAGGGTTTGAAACTCAATAAAAGCAAGGGTTATGGATAATTTCAAATGACAACCACAAATACTAAAAGGCAACTTTAAAATCACGGCCATTTGTTTTCAATTAACATAAATAAGTTATTTAATCATATAAACAAAGCAAAGCGTGTTCTTTGAATGTTCATTTTCTAAGTTATAAAATGACCTCTTATCCACCATGAAGCTTCACGTTAAAGATTGGGACACAGATATAAAGTTAAAACGAAGGTCCCCAGCGCAAACCCTGGCTACACAGTCCACCTCGGCCAGGGCACACGCGCAGGGAACACGCCCCTGCCCCACAGTCTTCAATTTCACTGGCCAAGTTTAAATGTGGTGACCTAATTTTTAACAAAGATCTCCAAATAAATAAAATGGAATTCCAGACGTAGGAAATCATTCACTTTGCAATTATGTAAAATAGGAAAACAGATAAAATAAAAACATACAATAGGTTTTATAATAAAGTTGAATCCATATTTCCACTTCAAATCAAAGTATACTTGCTACAATGTAAAACTAAATTGTTTTGCTTAAAAAATAAAACTGATCATTGCACTAAGCTAGGGACTGAGAGCAGGCCTTCCCCTCTACTCTGAGCTACAGTAATGGGGGTAACAGATGACCCCGTCACTGACAAAAATAGAAGAAAATCTAGACCAAGTGCAACCCAACAACCCGATTTCTGTCGGGAAAACTACGCTGCTGCCAACTTCTTTGGCAAAAGCTTCTTAGGGAATGATAACCGTACGAGCAGGAGGATTTGGAATGCTGGGACTCTGGTGCAATGCTAGAAAGACGGCAGATCTCTGTTGTGCTAATAAATAAATAAACCACACACATACACACCAACAGCTTTACGATGGGGATAGAGGTGAGGGGTGTGCTTCAATTTTGACTGCAACGACTTTCCCAGAGTGTCCTGACAAAAAGCTTTCAAACTTTCTGTCAAGCGTGTTTTGAATACTGCAAATAGTTCCTTAAACCAGACTCAATACAGATTGTGTATCTGAAAACAAGTAACAGCAGTGAGCCAACCCCCAGCCCGGAATCAGCTTCCTTCCCATTTGTTTTTAAGTAAAAAAGTTGATAAAACCTTTTCAAGAACAAGGAGGAACACCAGACAGATGTGAGAACGGAGAAGCTTCCCCCACGTCTCACGGCCCTGCCTCTGCCCTGGAGCCTGCGGATCACCACCCCAGCAAGACCGTCTCACTCTTCTCAGACAGACAGACAGACAGGCTGGGGTACCAACACACACTGTCGCCAAACAAGGGCTCCTGAGCACAGAGCTCCACCAGCCGTCACAGCTGCAACGAAGCATTTCCTGCTAAACAGCCTGCACCTTCCCAAGGCGCCAGGAGATGGTTCTGACCCTTCACTGTTTGGGCCTTAAGACAAAACAACAACAACAACAAAAGGTCAAAATGCAACTTAAAAAAAAAAAACTGGACTAAATAATTTCAAAAAAGATGGTTCAAAATCTTTACAGGTATCTTTAGTAAACGTCACCATAAGCACAGTTAGCGTGAAAAAACAAGCAAGCCATCAGGACAGGGTTTATCACCAACAGGCTACGAGGTGTTGGGCCAGAGACCTCTGCGAGTCTGGGTCTCAGTCTCTTCACCGGCAGGCAGGGGCTGCCCACATGTCAAGTACTTCCAGATCTTAAAAAAAAAAAACACAACAAAAACCAGCCCGCAAACTTTTTTCTCTGACCTTGGTCAACTCAGCCTTTCTGCCCGAGTTATCAGGGGGTTCACAGAGGCATCCCTTCCACCTCCTGGCTGGGGGCAGGAGCAAAGGGTGGGGCGCAGGGGTGGGGGGGCACCAACAGATCAAGCCAAAAACACAGTATTCTTTCCAATACAGCCACGAGCCACATGGCGTCCCCTCTAGCAGCATCCAACCACATACACTTCTGTGGTCTTCCCCCCCCTCCGTAAAGCCGCTATTTTAAGTATATACGATGCACATTACAATGGTTCCTAGAGACATATAGGCACTACTCTGTGACAAAACACTGTCGTTATTATTACTGTATTATTATGTGAAGGATGTTTTAGTGCATCTGGAAGTGTTTCTTTGATTTGCTTAATGCCTAGGAAGGTACACTACACACTAACACAAACATCTAACTGTTAGGTGTGAACCTCACTGTCCTGACTTATGTACAGATCTGACTCAAAGACAGACTCTGGAACAGAGCTCACCTATAACTGGGGGCTGACTGGATATAATACGGTGTTCACACACAGTCCACATCACAGAACGTTCCGTTTCACAGAACATATCATAGATGTTAAGTGATGCCTGACTGTATAGTGGAAGGGCCTATTTCAATCTGAGCTTAAGTTAGTAAATAAAAATCTGAACAGTACTTTTAACGTATTACAAGAACCAAAGTGCCAAGTCATCAGAAATGTGAAAGGAAATAAAGTAACTCTGTGTTGTATCCTTCCAAAAAAAAAATAATAAATAAATCAAAATGACACACCAATGTCACCTTTAAGCTATGTTAGCAACAACAACAGAAGTGCCAAATGCATCTGAAAACAACATCTGCAAAGCAGGACAACTGTTACTGGGATGTGTTTGTAAAAATACAACAGTGTCTCTAAAGCTCTCAAAATCTACACATTTTTTTCTCTAAGGTCTATTTCTACGTGTTTAACAAATATAATACTTCTGACAGGATCAGCAAAAATATCCTCTTACTGCTCTTTCAGAAAAGCTCCATTTCTGTGACAACTACTACAAGAGTGAAAAATACACTCAATAAACAGGTAAAAACCAGAATACAGGCCCAGGGTTTGCTACTGGAAATATTTAAGGCAGGGATTTGGCTACAAGACTGAAGACGTGGAGAGAATGCATGTTTAGAAAATATAACCTGTGAAAGAAATGGTATTATCACTGTTGGCATGAAGTAAAAATGAAGTAACAGCATGCCAGTTTATCACTAATGCAAAATAAATCTCCAGGAAATGAAACCGCCTGAAGGGGCGGCTGCGGAAAGAGGCCCTGGAGTTCTCCCAGCCGACCGCCGCCAGGAGCTCAGTGCTCGGAGGCCCTCTGAGGTGCCCTCTGGTGGCCTTCCAGACAAGACAAAATGAAGCAGCTGGTGCTAATATCTGGAGTCCACCTAAGTCACTGGCAAGACTGAGATTATTTCCAGAAAACGACCACCTTTATGTATGCAAGGGGAAACAGTCCTAACCGAGAACGCCCCAAGCTGCAAAAGCCAGGTTTTCCTGAAATGAACGACTTCGCAGAGTGAAGATCAGGAGTCACTGAACAGAGCTGAGCGGCTCCGACAGGTGCCAGCTCCACACATTAAAGTGAAAATGTCAAGGCGGTTCTTGGAGCTGTGGGCAAGGACAGAGAGAGAGGCAGGAATCGTCCTCCGTCCACGTCACCGCACTGGTTCTCGATTCGCTCAAGAGCCAGTCTGTCTACAGGGATGAATGAAGGCGATCAAACACACCGTGCAGAGGAACCACGGAGTAACAGCAGGGCGCTCCTCACCACCATTCCCGGAGTATGAAGAAAGCCTCCCAGCGACCAAACGCTTACCGTGTCATCCTTTTCCCATCGGTCTGCGCTGCTCTTGTCCTGATTGACGACATAACCGGGGGGCAGCCAATTCACAGGCGGATCGAAGATTGACACTACCATGCGGCTGGGCAGCCCCTTCTTTTTTCCGAGGCGATACAGGTTACAGTTGCTGACCTTCAGCAGAAAATATTTATAAAACACTTACCCAGAAAGGAACACTGCTCGAATTCCTACACGGCACGTAGTGAAACATCCTCCCCATAAACCAAACCCCAACCCACTGCCAACGAGTGGATTCCAACTCACAGCCACCCTCTGGGACCGAACAGCCCCATAGGGTTTCCAAGGCTGTCAATCTTTACAGGAGCAGACTGGCACATTTTTCTCCCTTACACCGGCTAGGGGATTCAAACCACCATTCTTCTGGCTAGCAGCTGAGCACTTAACAACTGCGCCACCAGGGCTCCTGTTCTTCATTAACTGGCCATCTATCACAATAATTATAGTTTTTCCATATATTCACGATACAAAAATATTAAAATCCCAAGTATTCTATATCCTTTAGTGTAGTTATATGAGTATTTCTGAACATAAAGTATAGCTCATAAAAACTGATGTATATAAAGATACAACTTGCTTACAAAGGAGTGAGAAGAAACAGACAACTGAGACTTGTGAAACACAACCTGATGGCATCAAGCACTAAGTGGGACGACCAGACGAGAGAACAACAGAACCCACGTGAAAAGCCAAGGTGTCCCGAGTATCCTTGGTGAGATATAGACACAAAAGGCCAGCAACTTCTACACGGCGAGCATCAGCAGGGAGCAGAGCTAGAGCAAGTTCATATCCCGGGATCGAAGCCAGAAGGCAATTTCAACTGTCACATTCTCTCAGATTTTATTCTGTTGTTTTGGGTGGCACTTCAAGGCACCTGTGTCCAGCCGTTTTAGAATGACAATAAAGCAAAGGTACTCCCAAATGGCTCCTTCGGTCTAACACCTGTCAGAGAGCTTCACGTCCCACCCTCGGGTCTGTTTGTTTTCCCAGCGCTACCATCTCCTCCCCATTGGGCTCCAGCTGCAGCTCACTGCCCTGGGATGACACTTACAGCGACCGTGGGAGGCAGCATCACCGCGGGAGTCTATGGCCCAAACTTCCTTCCGAGGAGCGGTCAAATGCCTTAGGCACCGCGCCACCAGAGTGCTCCCATGGGCTCCAATCACAGCATTCTGTCTAGTCTTCACTTACTTGAAAACTAGGGTCTAGAACTGTCAACCTCATGTTCATTTCCTAAACACTGGGTTCCTTTTTAAGTACTTTGTGACTCCTTTTCCATGTAACTCAAACACTGTTGAACACCCCCACCACGTGAGCCGCACTCAGTCGGGCACCTCAGAGAATGAAGTCGCCGGGGTGGAGCCTCGGAACCACAGCAGGAGGGCAGCCCACGCGCCACTCTGGGTCTGCCCCCAGCTTCCTCTGCTGCCTGGACGCAACAGGCCGAGATCTGCGCTCCTCTCCTTCTCCGTACCGTGCGGACAAGGTACGCAGAGGCCAACACGAGGAGAAAGTGGGATGTGGAACCAAAGAGAAGAAATCCCGTTCAGAGTCGAGAGAAAAGGCCGGCAAGGTGGGAGGGGAGAAAGCACCCAGTGAGGACTCACAGATGAGGCAACACTCGGGAGAGGTGGGATTCAGCGTGTGGAAATGGGGGACACCCAGACAGGGACACCAGCAAAAGTGCAGAGGCGGGGAGGCGTGCCCAGAGCCTGCTCCCACCCGGTGGGGGTGGAAGATCTGTGCAGGGTATGAGTGTGCAAGCAGGGCGTCCCATGCCAGCCCGAGGAGCTGGAATTACTTCCGCAGGAAACCAACATTCAAAGGGTTTAGAGCAGAACGGAAGGGGCCGTGTGGTAGAAACGAAGTTCTTCCTTACCCGACAGGGCCTACCGCTTCCTACTTGACCCTCATTCTCAGCCTGTGGTACTTCCTCCCACAACCACCCCTTGGAAATCTTGTTTGCTCTCAGAGTGCCAATTATGTCCTTTAAAGAGACCACTGCCAAACTACAGCCAAGGCCTCAATTGGCAATCTCCTGGTATCACTGAACATTGCCACTTTGCAATCCACAAGGTCTAAAAACCTTCACCCTGACCTTGACCTCCTATGTTTCTATCAACCTCTGCCCCCAAGCACCAGTCGGTCTCAAACCTCTGAGCAAGCAGCAGGGCAGGGCTGGACTCCAGGCCCAGAGACCAGCCAGAGACC